GTGGAGTCACACGTTTGAATCCTTCCTCAAATAATGTACCATTGGCACACCAAGAGTGGTCTTTTAACCTCCCAGAGCCTACATTTTCTCATCTATAAAATGAGAATTAAAATATTACCTAACTTGCTGGATTGTCATGAAGCAAGTATCTTGCCAACTTTAATGCACTTTGGAAAATTATATTCTTTCAAAGGATCATAGATTTAGGACTAAACAGGACCTTAAAGGTCATCTAATCTAACACTTTGGTTTTATAAATGAGAGAAAAGATGCTCAGATAAATAAAGTAAGTGGTTTGCCCATTAACACATATTTAATAAGTTGCCTAGCCCAGATCCAAACCCAGGTCTCCTGACTCTTACATTACTCATCCTCAAAACACTTGAGGAGCTTTCTATTGCTTGGAGGATGAAATATAGCCTCCTCATTTTTGTATTTTTAGTGTCTCCCAGTCTGGCCATGCTCCATCTTTCTAGTTTTATTTTATTCCTCTCCCTTTGCTACATAACAGCATATATATTCACAAAACTAAACTACTAGCTATCCATACATATGACATGCCATCTCCCAGTCCTTTGCATTGCTGCAAAATATCCTCCATGTGGAGAATTACCTTCTTCATCTTTCTACCTTTCACATAATTTATCTTCCCTAAGGGCTCAGGTGAAATGGCATTTCCCCTATGAAGTCTTCTTAATCCACCCAACTACAAATGATTTTTCAATCCTCAGATTTTCCTAGGACTCTTCTCTTAACTCCCTAACACTTTAATTGTTTTTGTTTAACAGTGACTATGCTGTATCCACCACAGTAGAATGTAAGCTACTTGAAGCCAGAAACTGTACCATATATATGTGGGTTTTTCCCTTATTTTGGATTCTCGGTAGCTATGACAGTGCTTTGGATATAGTAGATGTTTGTTTTTGTTTTAATAGAATTAAGTTGAATTTAATTGAACTAAATTTAATCAACATTTGGTGTTCTGTGTTTTCATTTCCTTTTCACCTCTGATCATGTGGTACGGAGTATTGGACCTGGAAGCAAGAGGAACTGAGTTAAAATTCAACCTCAAATCCATAGCCTTCTTCCTATGGAACCCTAAGCAAGTCACTTACCTGGGCAGCTAGATGGCTCAGTGGGTAGAGTTCTGGGCCTAAAGGCAGGAAGATATCTTCATGAGTTCAAATCTGGCTTCATACACTTACTAGCTATGTGACCTTGGGCAAGTCACGTAACCCAGTTTGCCTCAGTCTCCTTATCTATAAAATGAACTGGGGAAGGAATTGGAAAACCACTCCAGTATCTTTGCCAAAAAAAAAAAAACAAACAAACAAACCAAAAAACAAACAAACAAAAAGAAAAAAAAAAACAAATGGGGTCACAGAGAGTCAGACATGAGTAAACAATAACAACCAATTATTGTGATAATAGCACATATCTCCCAGGGTTTTTTTGTGGGAGTAAAATGAGATAATATTTATAAAGTATTTTGCAAATCTTAAAGTGCTATATAAATGTTGGTTATCATCATTAGGAAGAAGAGTACTAGATTTGGAGTTAAAAAACACCTGAGTTGAAATACTACTTCAGATACTATCTATGAGTATCAAAGCCTTGGTTCCTCGTCTGTAAAATGAAATAACAATAGCATCTGGAACCTAGGTGGCATAGTGGGTAGAAGGCAGGACTTGGAATCAGGAATACCTGCATTCAAGTTCTGACTGGAACATTTCCCAACTGCGTTACGCTAAATGACTCATTTCAGCTCTGTAGACTTGATTTCCTCATCTACTAAAGGAAGATTATGAAAGAATCTACCTCAAAGTGTTGTTGGGAGGATAAAATGGAGTAACATACATAAAACACTTTGCAAATCTTAAAATACTACATAAATTCTAGTTATTATAGATTTTGGTAGTAGTTGTAGTAGCAGCAGCAGCATTATTAATCCTGTCTGAATAGCTCTACCACCATCCTCCACTTCCATCAGGTCAACATTTACTCACCATTGCCTCAATCATTTCTACTTGGGAAAATGGGAAAACAAAGTGAGAACTCCATCCTAGAGATTTCAAAAGCCCATGCCTTACTGTCTTTCCTACCTTCAGACAGGGATATTCCAGGGACCCACTAAGTATAACAAAGGAACAAAGGGAGGATGGATTATTTATAGGAAAATCAGTTCCATTAAGTCATGATCTCTTGGGATTTTTCAAAGACACTCAGAAGATACAATTAAAATGTGTCTTTGTGGGGAAAATTGGGATTAAGCATTTGTCAACAGAATTGAGTTTTCTTTTCATTAGTTCCTTTATCCCTTTATAGCCCTGGAGGATCCCAATACTCATGACACTTCTATTAATGCAGCACTTTCCTCACCAAAACTCCAGGGGGAAAGTTTGCTGTAGGCATTATCCTCTTCAATACAAGAAAAATAAGGTTAAGAGAGTGAAGTGACTTGCCTAGTGTCACAAAGTAAATGGCAGAGGAAGGATTGGAATTCAGGTCTCCTGATTTCAATTTTTTTGTTTGTTTGTTTTGTTTCTTTGTTTTTGCTTTTTTTTTTTTTTTGTTTTTACCATAAGCATGTTAGTGGTCATTCTCTTGATTCCTCTTCCACAAAGTATTTTGGTGTCCCAAATTCCCTATGAATAATTCATTCCATGGCATGGGAACTAGATGAGCTCCAAGGTGAGGGAACCCCTCTGCCAATGTGATTTGACACTTTCTAGTATTGGAGAGTTGCCTGAATTACTGAGAATTTAGGTGACTTACTCAGTGTCATTCTAAGAAAGACAAAAAGGGTCCTTGCCCTCAAGGATTACACATTCAAATGAGAGACCCAGTGTACAAATATCTATGTACATACAAAGGAAAGAGACTAAGGCTACAAGCAACCAGGATATTCAGCCTGCAGGGGAAACTCAAAAGATCTCAAATTGAATTAGCTCTCAGGTCACTGTCTTACTTTGAGGAAACCATTGTTTTTAAAGTAAAGTGAGAGGGAAGTTGGCTAGACAGGTTTTGGAGATAGAAAACAGGACAGAGGTAAGAAGACACACATACACACACCCAGTTGTGAGTGGGTCTAATTAATTCTTTTAAAAAATAATTTTAATAAAAAAATTAATTTTGTCTTTCTTACCTCTTTTCACCTCCCAACCCCAACAGGAAAAAGAAAAACAAGACCATTGTAACAAAAATGCATAATCAATCAAAACAAATCCCCATGTGTACATACACACATATGTATGTATGTGTATATGTACATATACATATATATACATACATATAGATATAGATATTCCCACTTAGCAGGATAAGTTGCAGCATTCTTCATGGAAATAGGTTGGTCATTGTGTTGGTCAGCGTTTTTAAATCCTTCTAAGCTATTTATCTTTATGAAATGGACGGGCCGAGAGTAACCGGACACACGCCAAATTAGAAAATAGAGAGCATTTACTGGAGCCGGCCTGCGACTGTCCCCTGGATGCAATCCTAGGAGAAACAGTCCCAAGCAAGGGAAATAACAAAGCTTTATACCCAGCAGTTTACAATCGCAGATACTAATCCTTTGATGTAGTGAAATTTACAATCGTGATTAGCGATCCTTTGAGGGAAGTTACAATCGTGATTAGCAATCCTTTGTTGTAGGGGAAGTTACAATCGTGATTAGCAATCCTTTGTTGTAGAAACTAAGGAGGTCAGGCTAGGGTGGGGGATTGTTTTTGTGACAACTCAGTCCACTTCACTTTACATTTTTGTTATTGTATGAATTGCTGTCTTGGTTCTATTTACTTCACCATTCATCTGATTGCATCTCTTTCACACATCTTTTTGTTTCCACTTACTTAACCATCACCCCTGGTTCAAATCCTCATCATATCTCCCCTAGACTATTGCAATAGCTCTTTGGTTTATCTACATCTAGCTTCTCACTACTCAAAGTCATTCTCCATTTTCTTAAACCCTACATCTGATCATATTATGTTCCCTATTAAGTGCTCCCTATTATCTCTAAGACTGAATGTAAATATTTCTGTTTGGTATTCAAAGCTCACACAATCTGGTACCAATCTGCCTTTCCAGATTTATGAATTTATGAATACCCTTTCATGAATATCTAGTACAGCCAAACAGGTTTTATCACTGTTATTAAGATGTGGTACTTCATCTCCTGTCTCCATGTCTTTGGAACAATTTTACAAAGTGGCTAGAATGAAAAGGAACTTTTTATTTAACCAAGATCAGAAAAAAAAAATCTATATACACAGTCAGATATACTAACAGAAAAATATATACAAAAACATTATTTATGTCATTCCTGATTCACCGTAGTATCATGCTGGAATCAAAAATGTATGGAGTAATGATCAAAAAGTTGCTGAAAGAGAAAAAAAATGACAAAAATGGAGAGGCAAGAATAGAGGGAAAAAGAGTGGGACCTTACATGTAGCACAAATGAAATAGGTTAAGGCACAGACAAAGATACTTTCATGGTTTGATCAGGGTCCTGGTGAGATGATTAAAAATTTAAGCTGGAAAAAAAATTGTAGATAAACTAGAACATTGACAGAAAAAGCTGAAGTCTAATCTTAAGGAACTTGCATTTGATAACACCACACCAAAGAATAGAAGTTTTCATATTTCCATATTGTCTTTTGATCCAATAACACCAATCTACCTCATCAAATCTCTTTGTTTCTACAATATATCTAAATGACTAAGTTTCTTTGATTTTCTTAACCAATACATGAATTAGTTAAATTTTTAAGAATAGAACAATAGCCTTTACAATGAGCTAATTTTTTCTGAGGCCTCAAGTTGGTTAATTTTGTATTGTCGACTTATTTAACTGCTTCTAGATACTAAGACATTAAATATTGTTGACTTTTTTAACTGTCTCCATCATCTCCAGAAAGTGATTTAAATAAATTGGAAAATAGAACTCATTAGGATGGTAGCCTCTTGTACATTATTGAGTGATTGTTCAAGAGACCCTAAGGCATATGTCTCCATAAGAGCTTCTTTAGGGCATCCTTAACATTCTTGTTCTTTAAGCTGTATATGAGGGGATTGAGCATGGGAATGACTACTGTATAAAATACAGAGACAACTTTGTCTTGCTGCATTGAGTAACTGGAGGTGGGGCGAGAATACATGAAAAGAATTGTCCCAAAGAAAATGGTGACAGCCATGAGATGAGAGGCACAAGTGGAAAAGGCTTTGCTCCTGCCCTCCACAGAGTGTATCCTCAAGATGGTGACAAGGATGAAAAGGTAAGAGATGAGGACCATCAGCACACAACCTATGACAATAAAGCTGGAGAAAATCATGATGACAATTCCATTGGTATGAGTGTCAGAACAGGAGAGTTTTAGGAGGGGTGGTGTATCACAGTAAAAATGATTAATCAGGTTGGAGCCACAAAATGACAACTTGAAGGTCATTCCAGTGTGAACAGCTGCATTACTAAATCCACCTAAGAATGCAATAACTACCAGCAGGAGGCAAATTCTGTCAGACATGATGACAGAGTACAATAGTGGGTAACAGATGGCCACATAACGATCATATGCCATCACTGCTAAGAGGAAACACTCAATACCCACAAATGACCCAAAGAAGAAAAACTGGGCAGCACAACCATTGAAGGAGATGGCTTTCTTCTCATCAAAGAGGTTCACCAGCATCCTGGGAGTGATTGAAGAGGAGTAAGAGGAGTCCACAAAGGACAAACTGCTGACGAAGAAGTACATGGGGGTATGGAGTCTAGGCTCAATCTTGATCAGCAGGATCATTCCCAAATTGCCCACCATGGTGGCTATGTAGATGAAGAGAAATATCACAAAGAGGATGAGCTGTAGTTTGGGATTATTGGAGAGTCCTAATAGGATGAATTCAGTCACCTCTGTTTGATTCAACACCTTGATTTCACCCATGCATCTGATTATTTGTGTTGAGCTAAGAAGGATGGTGTATCATATCAGTAGTTAGGATAAATAAATGGGGCACACATTTGAGTTTTGATAGGTTCATTCAAAGGTCTGTTTTCTAATTCTTAATGTTATTAAATTTCTGTATAACTTTGATTAAATCATTTTCCTTCTCTAGTTCTCAGTTTACGCTTCTGTTAAGTGTCATTTACAATTTGAAATAACTTTGGAATTAAAATAGTCCTTAGGAAAAAAAAAGATATTGAAATAAATTATAGCATCGAAGACAGCTAGAAGGAACTTTAGAGGAACATCTAAATCCAGTTCAATCCCATCTAAATCTAGTTCAACCCCATTATTTAAAAAGTTGAGTCACAGAGTACCACATGGCACAGTAGTAAGATCGCATAGCAAATGATACAGCCAACTTTCTTCAATATTCCATCCATCCATGTTCATAATATATTCAATAATAGTCACAGAGAAAATAATCTTTACCTCTGGCTATTTCTATGCAAACACCATCTTTTCCAGAAAAGCCAGCATTCATTCACCATTGCCTCAAGCATTTCTAAATGGGAAAATAGTGAGACAAAGCAGGGACCATGTCTTGGGGATTTATAAAACCTACATGTCATTGCCTTCCCTATGTCTTCAGACAGAGGTTTTCCAAGAATTCTCCAGTTGTAATAAAGAAACAATCAATAGGAAAATTGGTCCCATTAGATTTTGACTTATGGGGATATTTTCCTCCAAATATACCCAGAAGGAATAATTAAAAGTTCATTGCGTATAAAACTTGAAGCTAAATATTCATCAGCAGAATTTTATTTTTTTTCAATCTAGTTCCTTTCTTATCTTTAGCACATGGCAATACTAATAATTACTTAACATTTATTAATTATGATTTCAAATAAGTTTCTTCACAGTAATACCATGGGATAGGAACCAAAAATCTTAATACCCTCATGTTACAGATGAGGAAACTTAGATTCACAGAAATAAAGGAATTTCTCCAGGATAACATATCTAATAATAGGCAGGTGCCTATGGCAGTTAGAAAACGAACCAAACTTCCTTCACAATACATCCCTAGGCCAGTTGTCCCAGGAAAAATCCATTGTGTTAATAGTCGTAAAGTGGAGTATGTTTATATAATTAGATCTAATTACATCTCTTATTTTTTAAATGGATTGATATGAGCATACTAGGTTACAAATGACATTCCATTTCCCATCAACCTTCTGAATTGATTCCAAAATATTTTTACAGCTGAAGTATCTCTGTAGCCTCATGACTTTCAGCTACTTGGCACTGTGATGGTTTATGGAAATAATACACTGAGATTCATATAGCCTGGTTTCAAATCCTGGTTATTTAGTAACTGAGTATCAATTAATCCATTAATCAACAACAATTTAAAAGCACTTACTATTTGCCAGGTATAGGGGATGCAAAGACAGAAATGAAAGTTGAACTTTTGAAAGGATGTTCCTTCAGTCGCAAGTCACTCAACTTCATCTTGAACCTTCATGACAAAGTGTATTATCCAGTTAGAAAAAAAAAAGTATTTTTCTTTTCTTTTAGCCAAGAATATAAAGCTAAAGAATTAGGATAAAGGGAAGTGTTTCATTAAAAGGGGCATTTTGCAAAGTGTATGTTTTTCAATGAAATGTTAATGTAAAAAATACAAATAAAGTTAGATCTAAATACTTGAAATAATATTTATTGTTCATGGGTAAGTAAAGCCAACAAAATAAAAAATGACAATTTTACCTAATTTATTTATGTAATGTTATGCCAATTAAATTACTAAAAATCATATTACTGGGTTAGAAAAAATAACAACAAGATTCATATGGAAGAACAGAGGGTCAGGAACTTCAAGGAAACCAGGGGAAAAACAGATATGAAGGAGCCATATTTGGTAGTATGAGACCTTAAACCATATTATAAGGTGAGAGAGAAGTGCAAAATGGATAATTTTGATTATTTTAAATTAATTTTTTCTTGTATAAGTAAAACCTATTCAGTCAAGAATAGAAGGAATGCAGAAATTTTGGGGGAAAAACTTTCTTAGACAACCTCTCAGAAAGAATGTGATTGGAAATAGTGAGCTGGTTGGTTTAGAAAAATATAGAAAGACTTGCATATGACTTGCACATAAAAGATACATAGAGGGAGAAGGGAAAATACGTAACAGTTCTAAAAAAAGATCTGGTGGTTTTCATGGTCTGTAAGTTTTTGAGGGGTCATCATTAAGTGGTGTTGATTAAAAACATATTTAAAATCAGTTTGGGGCTGCATCAAAAGGGGGAGAATTTCCAGGAATAAGGAGATAGTTCCTGTGCACCCTGACTTTGGCAGTATTATGTTCAGTTTTAAACACCACGGTTTAAGAAGGGTATTGACAAACTGGGGAAGGTGTCTAAAAGAGGACAGTTAGGATGGTGGAAGGCCCTGAATCCATATCTTTTGATGGTCACTTAAATGAGCTTGAGTTGTTTATCTTGGAAAAGTGAAGGGTAGAGGGGAAGGGCAGATAGTGGTTAGAGTGGCCATGGTGCTGGACTTAGAGTTAGATAGGCCTAAATTCAAATACTGCCTCAAATGCTTACTAGCTGTGCATGTCACTTAATTTCTCTTGGCCTTGGTTTCCTCCTCTCTAGAAAGGGTGTGTTAATATTGCTAACCTTCAGAATTCTTGTGAATATGTCATGAGATAATATTTATATGCTATCTATTATTTTCAGAGATAATTTTCTGTCTACAAGAAATGAAGTTTTTAGCTAGAGGAACTCTTGAAGACTCTTTACTAACCTGGAACATAGTTATATCTGTTTTACTGACAGGAGTGTCCATACTGATATATTCATAGATCGGTGAAGTATATGAAGGAAGTCATACAAGGAGATGTATAAAATTATGATCAATAAAAGATAGAAGAAACAAAATCTGAATTGTATCAGTGATTATGTGGAAATTCATACAGAAAATATGTCTGGCCCAATGTTACCTAGCTGGAAAATGGATTAAAACTGAGGTTTCCCATGTTTTTATTCCTGAACTCTTTTCACTGCATCATGAATGTCTTTGAAACATTGGTGTGCTAGATTACCAGAAACTAAAGTCTTATAGCCAGTAGAATGATAGATTTATAATCAACCATCTCTTCCACTGAGCCCCATTCAACCATGGCTCATTGTTCTGCAATATGTGTTCTATGGCCCAGTCCAGAGCTCACATTCTTTCCTTTTTCATCTAAAATCTCCTCCAGTACAAATAACTTTTACTCCAAATTCTACAGTACCCTTGAGATCTGGGATTCTAAGTTCTATGTTTTCAAATCCTTTTTAGATTTATAATTTAAAAAAATAACAGCCATTTATATAGTGCTTTGAGGTTTGTAAAACACTTTATATATGTTTTGATCTCCATAACAACTCCATGAGGTGGGTACTATTATTATTTCCATTTCACAGATGAGGAAATTGAGCCCAATAGAGGTTATACCACATGCCCATAATCACACAGCCTGTTAGAATCTGAGGAAGATTTGAATTCAGATCTTTCTGACTCCAGGTACAACATTCCATCCACTATGAAACCTAGCTGCCCCTGGAATTCTCTGTTCTCAGTTCCAATTTCCATTCTGGTTTTGATATTCTGTGTTGTATGCCATGCCCTAACTGGCATGCTAAGTTCTAATTCTAGGTTCCACTATCTCATCCTTTCCAAATCTAAAATGCAATTGTTTTAAAACTACACTAAAAAGAAGATGAAGATATTTGTATGAATATTTTCCTAAAAGAAGCTTTCACCTCTTTATTTCTCAGACTATAGATCAGAGGGTTCAGCATGGGGATCACCACTGTGTAGAACACGGACACTACTTTATCTTGGTCCATTGAATAACTAGAGCTGGGGCACAGGTACATGAAGAGAATTGTCCCCAAAAAAATGGTGACAGTCAACAGGTGGGAGGCACAAGTGAAGAAGGCTTTGTATCTTCCCTCAGCTGAACGTATCCTCAGAATGGCAACAATGACATATATATAAGAAACAAGGATAGTCAAGAGATAGCTCAACTCATTAAAACTGGCAAAAGCCAAAATGACTAGTTCATTCACATGGGTATCTGAGCAGGAGAGTTTCAAGAGGGGTGGAATATCACAGAAGAAATGGTTGATAACATTAGAATGGCAGAAGGAGAGCTTAAAGGTTAAAGTTGTGTGTATTGTTGCATTGACAAAACCTGCCAGATAGGTGCCTGACACCAGTATGAGGTTGAACCTCTGGGACATGGTGGTGGTATACAGCAGTGGGATGCAGATTGCCACATAGCGATCATATGCCATCACGGCTAGCAGAAAGCCCTCAATGCCAGCAAAGGAGCCAAAGAAGAAAAATTGAGTGGCACAACCACTCCATGAAATGACTGGCTTCTCCATCCAGAAGTTGATGAGCATGTTGGGTGTGATGGCAGAGGAGTAACAGAAGTCAACAAAGGACAAGTTGCCTAGAAAAAAGTACATTGGGGTGTGAAGTTGTGCATCGAGTCCAGTCAACAGCATCATCCCCAGGTTTCCCACCGCACTGATCACATAGATCAAGAGGAAGACCCCAAAGAGGATGGGTTGTAGCTCTGAATGGTCAGTGAATCCCAGAAGAATGAAATGGGTCACTGTGCTGTGATTACTCCAAACCATTGGCTCAGAAGAAGGATGTCTCCTGCTGAAGAGAAAGAAATGAGACACAAAAATAACTCAGAGAAGAAGAAATGGGTAGAGGGTAGCCAGCATGGATAATTACAAAGAATATTGAACTGGGAGTTTGAGGACCTGAGTTTCAATCCTGGTTCTATCATTTTCTACTGGCGTGATGTTAGGGCAAATCCCTTCAGCTTTGGGGGCATCAGTCACTGTCTCCATAAAATGTAGGGGCTTTGCCTAGATAGCTCAAATGTCTCTTCTCAATCTAAACCCTTCAACTAATAGGTTAACTAGTCTATC